CAAATTACTCTGGCTAAGTCAAGGATGTGGCGAATCTTTCTCTCAGAACGGCGATTCTGTTGAGGAGTTTTAACATTAGCCATCTGATCCTCAATCCCAAATTCTGTACATAACCGCTGTACCTCCCTATAAGTGTACTCCATACTCTGGTCAGATCTGAATTTTTTTAATGGTAAGACCATATTTAGTCTGAACCATTGTCATAAAATTTTTAAAAAATGGTGTACGTCTCATTTTTGGTTTTCATAAGATAAACTCATGTAACACGACTATGATCATCAATGAACAACACGAAATATCGAAATCCAATACTAGAAGTAACTGGGCAAGGACCCCACATGTCTGAATGAACAAGATCAATAGGTGATAAAGCATATTTATTACTACTAGCAGAATAATTGGAACGAACATGTTTAGCCATATGACATGTCTCACAGGATAAATCTAACACTGCCACGTTACAAAATAAGGAAGGAAATAAATGTTTTAAATAACCGAAAGAAATATGTCTTAAACGCATGTGCCAACGCGCTGGGCTTTATTAAATGAAACAAAATTAGAAAATGAAGCTGAATGTGCTTGAGGTGATAAAGGAACATCCAACAGGTATAGACTGTCCACTTCACGCAAAGGAGCATCCAACAGGTAGAGACCATCCACTTCACGCCCACTGCCAATCGTCCGTTTCGACACCAGATCCTAAAAAATACAATGAGAGGGAAAGAACGTTACATTATAATTTAATTGTTTGGTAATGCTACTAATAGAAATAAGATTTGTAGTTAACTCTGGAACATGAAGTGTATCTGACAAAGTTAATAAAGGAGTAACTGATATGTGACCCTTCCCAGCAATGGAAAATGGAGAGCCATCCGCAAGGCATACCTTGTGATGGCATTGGAAGAATGAGGACATACTAGTCATATTGTCTGAAGCACCAGAATCAATGATCCATGGTGTCGAAGATGTAGATACGCTATGTGCAGATGTATTAGTATCTAAGTGGGCATAAGTAGAGGTTGGCTAAGATGATGCCTCCATTTGGTTGAAGAATTGTTTGAACTTGTCCAAATCAGCTTGAGTCAAGGTAACTGTGGCAGAAGTTGTAGAGGCAGAGTTGTCAGGAGTTGACAACGAGACTGGTTGTGTAACAGAATGTGCAGAGGATTAAGGTTGTTGTTTCTGTTGCGTTGGGCATCCATGTAGAGCATAACAACGAGATTTGATGTGACCAATTTTTCCACAATGGTCACACCGTCCACGTTGTCGTCCCAGAGGAGACCGGTGGTAGAGCTCTGAACTGACTGGGACGGTGTAGTTCCTGAAAGGTTGGGAACCCAAACTGACAATACATAGGAGTATGCATCCTCAAGAGTAAGGAATGAAGATAAGGCCAATAAATGAACACGAGTATACTCAAACTCGTCGTTCAACCCGGTAAGAAACTAAAACACTCTATCTTCTCCACAATCCCTGCATATAAAATTGCATCATCTGGATCCAAGAGTGGAAAGAATCATAATATGACATCTCCTCCCAAATAGTACGAAGATTGGCGATATAACCTGAAACTATCAAGTCACCCTGAGAAATCCTGATGATATCTCGCCCCAGCTGGAAAATCCGTGCATTATTCTGCCTCTGAGAATAAGTGCATTGAACTGAATCCCAAATCTACTTAGCAGTCTTCATAAACATATAGCCAACAGCTATGTTTGGTTGCATCGAATTGACTAGCCAAGACATAACCAAGAGTTGTCTGCAAACCATTGTGGATTTGCCTTCTCTGACTCAACTGGCTCTTTCTCACAACTAGTAATATAGCCAATCTTGCCTTTGCCACCAATGAACATCTTGGCAGACTGTGCCCAAATCAAATAGTTGGAACCATCCAACTTCACTGTGGTGATTTGGAGTCTTGGATTTTCTGATGAGTTAGTGGGGAAAAAAGCACCACCACCCACAGAACTTGAGCCAAGAGAATTAACAGTCGAGGACCTTGAATCTGCTATAATCTGTCACACGATAATAAAAAACTCCAAAAACACCACAAATTATGTTTATAAATCAAAGGGTCTCCTCAGACCATAAACAGTAACAATTTCTCGTCAGACCATTCCCGAAAAATCCAAATACATACTTTTTTTAAGGAGTGCTGCCCGCTTACATATAGACAACCTCCTTCTTAATATCCGGAACCTCTTTGTAGACTAAAGTTTTTTTTACCCAAGCCCTTCTAGGTGTTGTAGACCAACTATCTCAATTTACCCCATCCTAAAAGAGTAAAAGAGAAATTGTAAAACTTAAAAATACCTGTTTTCGATCACAAAACAACAACACCGAACAACATGTGTAGGCAACGTCACACGATGTCACAAATAGCCTAAGGTGGCTGTCACACAAGTAGTAAGGCTGCTGAAAGGTGTTGGCTCTGATACCAAGTAGAAATATAAAAGAAGGAGAGAATTATGTAAAGGCTTGAATGAGATGAATCATTCATTCACAACTCTAGTATTTATAGATAAAAAGAGCACATGCTCATATTACAAAAAAGGAAACTAAATCAAATCTAAATCAAATCACAGCATATTCTATAGCATAATCAAATCTCTGCTAATATGGTAAGTCATTCCATAAATTGTGGCTATCACATATGCTAACATATGCATAATCAAATCTCTGCTATTATGGTAAGTCATTCCATTAATCGTGGCTATCATATATGCTAACGCATATGTTGATTTCTTGAGAATTTATGAAGATGGTATATGTATATATTTGTTTTCTTGAGAAATGCTATGATGATGGTAAAGTATGTTGAATTCTTGAGAAATATTGATGATGGATATAGCATGCATTTCATGGACATTGGTTGGGTTCATGGGTTGGAAAGGATGTTTAAATGGTTTCCAACGATTTGTAAAAGTTGATTTTGAAAGCTTTGAAAGTTTTGAAAAGGATTTTTATTCGGAAAGGTTTTGTGAAAACGGACGCCATGGAGTTGTCATGTAATCCGGGTTCGAGATGGCTTGGACTTGTATAATTGAACTACCTAGGCGCCAAATGACGCTAGGGAGATGTCCTAGGTCAGGGATAGCTAGTCAATTCCCTTCGTGACGCCAAGGAGACGCCTATGGTCGGGTTGTGTTAACATTTTCGGTGTGGGTTGTGTTATGATGGATATAGTTTTGGGGAAATGGTGAGAGTGCATTCATGACATTCATTTTATCATTGAGAGGCGTGAAAATTCAATGTATGATGTCTGATTATTTTTCCCCATTATATGATCCCTCTTTCTTGTATCCTTTGCTTTGGTTCGATTCACGGGATTACAAGAGGTGTATTCTAGGCTATCCTTATTGAGCTGTTGTGCTCACCCTATATTTTAACATTTTCAGGAAAAAGAAACAGAATTGATGGAAGCTGTATCTTCATGGCCTTAGACGGGACTAGATATTTTGATGATTTGTATATGATTAATTCATGGTAGATGACCATTTTGTTTAAAGTTATGTATTCATGGCCATGGTGGCCTCATTCTTTGTAATTAATCCTGTAGACGTTGTATAAAAAGGATTTGTATAAATGGATCTTCAATGATGTATAAACGGCATGATTAATGGATGTAATTGCATGTTAATCTTGTATCTTTGATGATTCAATGCGATGTTTTCATGCTAAATGATGTTTATGGGGTTTAATTTTTCATGTTGGTTGCCTTGGGATTGCATTGGAATGGGTTTGGGAAGCAGACTTTTCGAACATTTCATCTTTGGGCATCATCTAACCGGTTAGATAGGGGTATTTACCCGATTAGATGAATGGCAGTATGTGGGCTTGATGGGATTCTCCCATCTAACCAGTTAAATGGGTATATCTAACCGGTTAAAAGGCAATCTACTCAGTTAGATGAATGGGCAGTAAGGAGGGGTGGGGGGGTTAGATGGCTCCTTCCATCTAACCGGTTAGAAGGGACCATCTAACCGGTTAGATGGCTATTTACCCGGTTAGATCGACCCTCCATTTTGACATGTACACTGGACTTGTCGTCTAACCGGTTAGATGAATTCATTTACCCGGTTAAATGAGCTGATATTTACTGTTTAACCCCATATTTCTGTATAATTACCCAATTACCCCCAGACTTCAACCAAAACATAGAATGATTATAGAAAATGACAGTTTTACTCCTGATGAGTTGTGAAGCCATAATAAGTGTAGTAAATGAGTATTTTGCCCCTTTGGGTTTTAAATCCTTAAATGACCATGGTAAAGGACTATTTTACCCTCTTTGGGTTCTAAGGCATTATCTGACCATGTCAAATGACCCTTTTGGGGGCTCTAGACCCACTGTGATGTTGTGAAATGACCTTATTACCCCTGGACTTCATATTAACCATTGGATGACTTTGTTAAATGACTGTTTTACCCTTGATGGGTCTTAAAGTATTAATTTAAGGTGAAATAATCATATTACCCTTGTGTGTCCTAGGGTTCGGGTGAGGACCCGGTTAGTGATCCAAATCCCCAGATTTGGGTCATTACACATAGGTTAATGATATAATTTATAATAACATATAAATATCTCAAAAAACAACAGTAGGCAAGGAATGTGATTTCATAATATAACATATTATTTGGGTGTCTTTTAGAACATTAAATCAATTTAGGGAGGTTGGTTTGGTCACCTACCTTTGAAGGATGGGAGCCCTTCCACTACATAACTTCTAAAGTCCAGTTGATGGGTCGCATTGCTTGGTCAATCACTCTCAATGCTCAAGGTGTTACACTCGCGCTTGAGAACCCAAACTCATACTGTTGATCCAGGCAACAACCTTTATTTTACAATTACTATGTGCATAATATGCTCTTTTTTAGATGTGAAGAACTTCTAAAGTGAATTCCTCCTGAATGTGTAATGTCGTTATTCATTTGTTTCCTCTTTATGCATGGTTTCCCATCACTAACTAAATTATGTTTTTTGGTGTTTGGTTTTCAAGCCTGCAGAGAAATATCCATCTATATTTTCCAGGGATTTTGTTTTTGGGAGGTAACTTTACTTCCACTGCTTTGTATTGTAATAATGCATCTTAAATATCTCATTTCAAAACTTCCTGTGTTCTAAATCTTTGTTGTTTCAAAAATTCACTTGTGGTGCAGATTTCCTTATTTCTTACCCTGCCTCTGCATATCACTTTTTGCATTAATTGTGACTATTGCTTCTTGTTGGCTTCCGGTGCGCTTCTTTATTAATCTAATATTGATGCCATTTATGTTATTATTGTATTTCTGATGCATCTTGCTCATCCTTGTCATTATTTCATTTCAACTTTTGCTACTTGGGATCTTCTTTAAATTGAACAAAGCTTACTCACTAAATTTTCTAGGGTAGCAAAAAATAATAATAATAGAAGAAATACTAGAGAAATATATAAAGGCTTGAATGAGAATTATCACTTATTCACAACTCTAGTACACTAAAAGAGCACATGTTAAAATTACAATAAAGGAAACCAAATAAAATAACTGCACATTCTATGACTAAATATATGCATAAATAAAGTCAAATTCCATGATTCTAGGTTAACATATCGCGGTTAATATTGTAAGTCACATCCCATCGTTCTAGGCTATCATATCTTAGTTAACACTTCTTCAAGTTGGTGCATGGATATCTGAGACGCCCAACTTGGACAATGCATCCTCAAACATGGTCTTGTGCATCCTCAAACACGGTCATGCTTACGCCCTTTGTAAGAATGTCTGCAAGCTACTGAGAGGTAGTAATAATAGTTGTGCAATTCTGATCGAAGATGATCTTCTCTCGAATGAAGTGCCGGTTAACCTATATATGCTTAGTCTTGTCATGCTGAATGGGATTTGTTGCAATGCTAATGGCAGACTTGTTGTCATAGTAAAGTGAGAATGGAAGTGACACTGGAAGGCACAAGTCTATCACCAACGTTTTCAGCCATAGAAATTCACACACTCCAAGAGCCATAGCCCTATACTCTGCCTCTACAATCGATCAAGATGCAACATCATGTATCTTACTGCGCCAAGTAACCAAGTTGCAACAACAATAGTATAGTAGCTAGAAGTTGACCTCCTATCCGAAATTGATCTTGCATAATCAGCATATGTCCATGCCTCAACCCCTAAGTGACCATCATCTGCAGACAAAAAGGCTGCCTGGACACCCTTTCAGGTGACGAAGGATCTAAATAGCTGCATCAAGGTGAGGGGTGCGAGGAGAGTGCATGAATTTACTCACTACACTCACAGCATAAGCAATGTCAGGTGAAGTCATGGATAGATAGATGAGCTTCCCAACAAGCTACTGATACTATTGATACTGACCAACATTCGACAATAACTCCCCCTAAGAATCATTCAACCGATGATTTTGCTCAATCAGAGTGTTAGCACGGCAAGCGCTAAGTTGGTCAGAAGCAAAAAGCAAGTCAAGAACATAATTGGGCTAAGAGATGAAAATAGCAGCCTTGGAGCGAGCCACCTCAATACCCAAGAAATATCGAAGGGGACCAAGATCCTTAATCTCAAACTGGTGGCCAAGATAGCTCTTAACCTCAACAATCCCGATAGTGTCTATCTCTGGTAAGAACAATATCATCCACATACATAATGAGAACAAATGTCTTACCACATGAATACCACCTGAATAGTGTAACACTAAGGTATGTCCAGCTGCACTTTGATGGAAAAACTTATGGTAGTGCCAAAGTGATCGGACCAAGTTTAAGGGGATTGCTTGAGGCCATACAAGGAACTACGAAGATGACAGACCATCTCGGAATGAGCAGGAGGCGAAATCTCGAAGGGGGAACCATGTACACCTCCTCATGTAAGTCACCATTGAGAAAGACATTCTTGACATCTAACTGAAATAGAGGCCAAGAACGAATTGCATCAAGGGAAAATAATATACGGATGGTGTTCATCTTGGCAATAGGGGCAAAAGTCTCCTGGTGACCTATGCCATAGGTCTAAGCATAACCCTTGGCAATTAATCGGGCCTAATAGCAAGCAACTAAGCTGTCTGAATTATGCCTAATTGCAAACATCTAACAATAGGCCACAACCTTTTGTCCAAGAGGAAGCAGAACCATGTCTCAAGTCTGATTTTTCTCTTTTAGAATGTATATATGTAATTTATATTCCTTCTAGGGACAGATTGGTCTTTTTGGTGGACTTCCAACTTTTATATTATACATATACCTACACAAGTGAGAGAAGAAACGAGATAACCTCACACAAAATTCCCCAAACAGTATCATCAAGTTCTTTTTTCTTTGAACCCTAATTTTAACATGGTATTAAAGAGGGTTGAGATCAATGCCATTGGCATTTGAGCTGCAAATGAGCCGAAATGAGCTTTAGGCTGCTCGGGCTCGTCTCACCTAGGCCAAAGAGCTGCTCAGTCTCGGCTCGAGCTCAAGCGAGCTCGGGCTAGCCAAGCTTGAGCTCGGGCTCGTGTGTGGGTGTGGCTCGAACATACGTGTGGGTGTGCGTATATATATATATCATGGTCTCCTATTCATTAACCATCTTCTCTGATTGTGTATATATATATCTATATATCAAACGAATCAACATACTGAGACAAAAAAAAAAAAAAAAAAAAAAAAATTCTCCACCAATCTTATTCAAATTGACTTCCAATTTCACCAATTAATCACCCATCTTCAGCAATTTTCAGCATCTTCTCCGCAAACTTCAAATCTTCATCAAGGGAATTTATATATATATATATATATTGAGATAGGGGGAGAGAGAGAGGGAGATAGAGAGAGAAAGAGAGAGAACGAGCCCTAATGTTGCCTGTAGAGTCGGGAAGGATTGCTGTTGTAGAAGCTTCGTTGCCACTTGCTGCTGTGTTTCAGGGTTTTCTATTTAACCCTTTATTCCTTTAACATGCTGATACTATACGCAGCACTATATTCAATGGCTGAGATGAAGTATGATTTGGGCTAGTGGGCTTTTTAGTTAAATGGACTCTATTTGTCAAATGGATTTCTAACTAATGTATTAATTGGGCCAATGAAATATGTATGAATTTGGACTACACTTGTATATATGGGTTAGGCTTTTTTTTTTTTGATAAGTAATAATAACATAAAAAAGGCGTTCAAAAGGGGAACACGTCCCTTATACAAAAATGGAACCGGGACTAAGGCCCCAAAGAATCCAAAAAAATAATTAAATCATCAGAAGAAGAGCAAGAACTCCTCTTCACATAATTAAAAAGAGAACGAAGAATGTGATGTTTCACCATTGCCGTAGACGACTCTTTATCTTCAAACATTCTACTATTTCTCTCCTTCCAAATGCACCACCAACACAATGTGGGACAACTCTCCAGAAATCGCGTACATCCCTTCTCACACGACATCCTCTCCATACATGAATCAATTCCTTAGTAGATTGTGGCATTACCCGACACATGCTAAACAACCCAAAAATAAGATTCCAATAGTCATTCGCCACAGGGCAATGCATAAGGAGGTGATCAACAGACTCCCCATCTTTCTTACATAGACAACACCGATTAACAATACAATTGCCCCTTTTCCTTAAATTATCAATTGTAAAAATCTTTCCCCAAACAGCAGTCCAAACAAAGAAAGCCACCCTAGTTGGAGCCATGGATTGCCAAATAGTTTTCCATGGGAAATCATAATTAACAAAATGAGATAGACATAAGAACAGGGATCTTACTTCGAAACGACCGTGGGAAGAAGGAACCCAAATCAAATCATCATTTTCTCTGCCAACACCCTCCTGCCGATACAGAAGATCCAAAAAAACACATACCTCATCCATCTCCTAATCTTGATAAGAGCGCCGAAAGTGCACATCCCACGTAATCCCATTGCTATCAAGACGATAACAATCAGCTACAAAGGCGTGTTTATCAACTGCAATACTAAATAATCTAAGAAATGAACGAGATAGTGGCTGATCACCACACCAATGATCTTCCTAAAACCGAATGCGACGTCCATCACGAACTTTGAATCTGATATGAGCAGAAAAGGCGTCCCAATCCTTCCGAATAGACTTCCACATCCCTACTCCTCCCACAAGAGTAACCGGACGTGTAGACCAGCCTCCATCTTCTTCCCCAAACCGACAGGAAACTAACCTGCGCCAAGGACGGTGTCTTTCCCTTCCATATCTCCATAACCATTTACCCAGGAGGGCTTGATTGAAAGGAACTATTCGTCTTATGCCAAGTCCACCCAAATTCACAGGCTTGCAAACTTGCTCCCATCTGACAAGGTGATACTTGAACTCATCTTCCCTTCCTCCCCATAGGAAATCCTTTTGGATTTTTTCAATCCTATCTGCAACGGAACAAGGAATTTGAAACATAGAAAGAAAATAAGTGGGAAGGCTTGATAACGTACTCTTAATAAGAGTAACTTTACCCCCCTTGGACAAATATTGCTTTTTCCATCCTGCTAATCTCTTTGCATACCTGTCAATCACTGAATCCCAACTCCCCACTATCCTTGAAGAGACCCCTAAGGGCAACCCCAAATAAGGAATAGGAAAAGAACCCACCCTACATCCAAGAATTGCAGCTAAGAAGGAGATATCGTGAACGTTCCCTACTGGGACAAGCACACTTTTAGCCACATTGACCTTTAGCCCAGAGACCGCCTGAAAACAAGTTAGGATGCACCTCAAATAACGAAGTTGAGACACATCAGCATCACAAAAAACCAGGGTATTGTCTGCGAAAAGTAAATGAGAAATCTCCATCTGATAGGCTAAATCTCTACCCACTCTGAAACCCTTAATAAAGCCAAGGTCCTCTGCCGTGCGCATAAGTCTGCTTAAACCCTCCATAACAACAAGAAAGAGGAAAGATGACAAAGGATCACCTTGTCTTATGCCCTGGGTGTAACCAAAGAAACCAGCGGGAGAGCCATTCACAAGAATAGAAAACTTGACAGATGAAAGACAAGTCTCGATCCACTTCCTCCATTTGCTTCCAAACCCCATTCTTTGTAACAAATAGAGTAGGAAATTCCAATTCACATGATTGTATGCTTTCTCAATATTAAGTTTGCATAAAACTCCAGGAATACCGCTTTGCAATCTGGAATCCACACATTCGCCAGCAATAAGAACTGAATCAAGAATTTGTCGTCCTCCAACAAAGGCGTTCTGGGAGTCCGAAATAATCCCATCCATTACTTCCCTCGT